CTCCCTGAACATTGGGAATTACAATTCAACATGAGATTTGGGTGGGGACACAGAGCCAAACTATATCAACCTCTTAGCCATTTGTATGTCTTCTTTTGAGAAATGTCTATTCAGATCTTTGCCCATTTAAAAATCAGATTATTAGATTTGTTTTTCCTATTGAGTTGTTTGAGCTCCTTATATATTCTGGTTATCAATCTCTTGTCAGATGGATAATTTGCAAATACTGTCTCCTATTCTGTGGGTTGTCTCTTCACTATTTTGTTTCCTTTGCTGTGCAGAAGCTTTTTAACTTGATATGATCCAGTTTGTCCCTTTTTGCTTTAGTTGCCTGTGGTTATAGGGTATTACTCAAGAAATCTTTGTCCAGTCCAATGTCCTAAAGAGTTTCTTCAAGGTTTTCTTCTAGTAGTTTCATAGTGTGAGGTCTTAGATTTAAGTCTTTAATCCACTTTGATTTGATTTTTAATCAAATATATATATATATATAGAGAGAGAGAGAGAGAGAGAAAGAAAGAGAGAGAGAGAGAGAGAGAGAGAGAGAGAGAGAGAAAGGTAGGGTCTTGCTATGTTGCCCAGGCTGGTCTCAAGTTCCTGGCCTCCAGTGATCCTCCTGCCTTGGCCTCCCAAAGTGCTGGAATTATAGGTGTGAGCCACTGTGCCTATCCTAATTTGATTTTTGTGTATGGTGAGAGATAGGGGTCTAGTTTCATTCTTTTGCATATGGATATCCAGTTTACCCAGCGCCATTTACTGAAGAGACTGTCTTTTCTCCTACATATGTTCTTGGCACCTTTGTCGAAAATGAGTTCATTGTAGGGATCAGGCATGGTTGCTCACATTTGTATTCCCAGCACTTTGGGAGACAAAGGCAGGCGGATCTCTTGAGGTAGGAGTTTGAGACGAGCCATGGCCAACATGGTGAAATCCCATCTCTACTGAAAAATACAAAAATTAGCCAGGCATGGTGGTGGGTGCCTTAAACCCAGCTATTTGGGAGGCTGAGGCAAGAGAATCACCTGAACTTGGGAGGCAGAGTTAAACCAAGATCACACCCCTGCACTCCAGCCTGGGCAACAGAGCAAGCTCCATCTCAAAAATAATTTTAAAATAAACAAAAATTTAAAAATAAGAAAATGAGTTCACTGTAGGTGTATACATTTATTTCTGGGTTCTGTATTCTGTTCCATTGGTCTGTGTATCTTTTCTCATGCTGGTACCATGGTGTTTTGAAGTCAGGCAATGTGGTTCCTCCAGTTTCACTCTTTTGCTCAGGATAGCTTTAGCTATTCTGGGTCTTTTGTGGTTCCATATAAACTTTAGGATTGTTTTTTTTTTCTATTTCTGTGAAGAATGTCATTGGTATTTTGACAGGGATTGCACTGACTCTGTAGTCTGCTTTCAGTAGTATGGACATTTGAATAGCATTGATTCTTCCAATCCATGAACATGGAATATCTTTCCATTTTTTGTGTCTTCTTCAATTTCTTGCATCAGTGTTTTATAGTTTTCATGGTAGAGATCTTTCACTTCTTTGATTAATTCCTAGGCATTTTATTTTATTTGTAGCTGTGTAAATGGGATTACTTTCTTGATTTCTTTTTCAGATTGTTTGCTGTTGGCATACAGAAATGTTACTGATTTTTATGTGTCGATTTTGTGTCCTGCAACTTTACTGAATTTGCTCATCAGCTCTAATACATTTTTGGAACAGTCTTTAGGGCCTTCCAAATATAAGATCATATCATCTGCAAACAGGGATAATTTGACTTCTTACTTTCTATTTTGGATGCCTTTTGTTTCATTCTCTTATCTGATTGCTTTAGCTAGGACTTTCAGTACATTGTTGAATAACAGTGGTGACACTGGACATCCTTGTTGTGTTCCAGATCATAGAGAAAAGGCTTTCAAATTTTCCCCATTCAGTATGGTTCTAGCTGTGGGTCTGTCATATATGCCTTTAATTATGTTGAAGTATGTTCCTTCTATCCCCAGTTTTGTGGGGATTTTTATCATGAAAGAGTGGTGAATTTTTTCAAATGCTTTTTCAGCATCAATTGAAATGATCATTTGGTTTTGTCCTTCATTCTGTTTATATATCACATTGATTGATTTCCATATGTTGAACCATCCTTGCATCCCAGGGATAAATCCCACTTCGTCATGATGAATTATCTTACTAATGTATTGTTGAATTCAGTTTGCTAGTATTTTGTTGAGGATTTTTGTATCAACATTCATCAGAGACACTGGCCTGTAGTATTCTTTTTTTGATGTATCTTTGTCTGGTTTTGGTATCAGGGTAATACTGGCATCACAGAATGAGTGTGAAAGTATTCCTTTTAAAGGTATGTTTTAAGTGTGAAAGTATTCCTCCTCTATTTCTCAGAATAGTCTAAGTAGGATTGGCATTAGTCCTTCTTTGGAGGTTTGGTAGAATACAGCAGTGAAGCCATTGGGTCCCAGGCTTTTCTTTACTGGAAGACTTTTTATTATGGCTTCAATCTCATCCCTTGTTATTGGTCTGTTCAGGTTTTGGATTTCTTCATGGTTCAATCTCAGTAGGTTGTATGTGTCTAGGAACTTACCCATGTATTCTTGATTGTCCAATTTATTGACATATAGTTGTTCGTAGTAGCCTCTAATGATCCTTTGAATTTCTGCAGCATCAGCTGTAATGTCTTAGTTTTCATCTCTGAGTTTTTTCATTCAGGTCTTCTCTTTTTCTCTTAGTTAATCTGGCTAGAGGTTTGTAAATTTTGTTTATCTTTAAAAAAAAAAAAAAAAAAGTTTCAGGCCGAGTACGGTGGCTCATGCCTATAATCCCAGCACTTTGGGAGGCCTAGGCAAGCAGATCATGAGGTCAGGAGTCCAAGACCAGCCTGGCCAACATGGTGAAATCTTGTCTCTACTAAAAAAATAGAAAAATTAGCTGAGCATGATGGTACGTGCCTGTAATCCCAGCTACTCAGGAGGCTGAGGCAGAAGAATCGCTTGAACCCAGGAGGCGGAGGTTGCAGTGAGCTGAGATCACACCACTGCACTCCAACCTGGTAGACAGAGCAAGACTCCGTCTCAAAAACAAAACAAAACAAAACAAAACCACCAAATTTTCATTCCATTGCTCTTTCGTATTTTTTTTTTTTGCTTCAATTTCATTTATTTCTGCTCTGATCTTTATTATTTATTTTCTTCTACTAATTTTGCACTTGGGTTGTGTCTTGGGATTTTGGGTTTGGTTTACTCTTGCTTTTCTAGTTCTTTAAGATGCCTCATTAGGTTATTTGATATACACACACACACACATATATATACACATATGTGTGTGTGTGTGTGTATATATATATATTTTTTTTTTGAGACAGAGTCTTGCTCTATTGCCCAGGCTGGAGTGCAGTGACATGATCTTGACTCACTGCGGCCTCTACTTCTGGGCTCAAGCAATCCTCCAGCCTCAGCCTCCTGAGTAGCTGGGACCACAGGCGTGCACTACCATGCCTGGCTAATTTTTATATTTTTTGTAGAGACAGGGTTTCACCATGTTGGCCAGGCTGGTCTCGAACTCCTGAGCTCAAAGAGATCTGCCTGCCTTAGCCTTCCAAAGTGCTAGGATTATAGGCATGAGCCACTCACTGTGCTCGGCCTGATGATACATTATTAATCCTTATACAACTCAGTGTTCTTCTATAATAGCTGAAATCATTCTGTATAGCAGGATTTGTCATCCTGAGTTCATCAAACCAGAGTGTGAAATGAAGAATTTCTGCAAACTCTTTAGCAAAAGGCTATTTTTGCACTAGATGCTGGGTGGGAGAACATGGGGTACTTGTCAAGGCTCTCTGAAGACATTTTAATGCTGCTTCTTACTGCTGAGACAATTCATAAGATTTCTTTAATTTGCCTCCCAGTGGAACAAATGCACCCCATGCCTTCTCTTCCAACTTCTCATCTGCTGGCTGCTGGATTGCCTCTTGTATTTTATGGTCATCTCCTCTGTATGACTGCAAGTCCTCCAAGATGCCATTTGCATCTTTCAATACCACATTCACCTAATTATAAATTTCCTTCTCAAAGACTCTGTAGGCTGGGCATTTTCAGGCACTGCTCATAACTCTATCCTTATTCTTTTATCCTCCTCTTGAACCTCCAATTACTCGGCCCCTCTCCTCTGCCCTCGAGGGGCTGACCTGCACAGATGGCTCCTCAGCAGTGCTAGGGAAAGCCCCAGGCCTGGAGCTAGAGGGCAGTGACACTACGACTAGGAGACCCTCCAAACATGCCCCTGTGGTGAACTGTGACAAAAATATTACCGTTTGTGGAGCACATATTAATGGCACAACAGACCCCAAACATAAATCACCCCATTCATTCCCCACAACTCTTAAGAAAATAAATTCATTGTTTTAAAATATCATTTTCTCTTCTCTCTTTCTTGTTCGTGCATGAGAGCACATGCATATAAAACCACAGCAAATATAGCTATCCCAAAAGTATACATTCCCTTAGAAACCCAACTTAATAGCAACTCCTTTTCTACCCCACTTTTTTTTTTAATATTAAAAGTTAGGCATTTGCAGGCACAGAAAGACAAATATACTATGTTCTCACTCATTATGTGTGAGCTAAAAAGCAGAGACTAGAATGACAGTTATTCTATCAGAAGCTGGTAAGGACGTGGAGACACAGTGGGGATGTACAAAGTTTTAGATATAAGGAATAAGTTTTAGTGTTTGATAGCATAGTGGGGGGACTATAGTTAACAACAATATATTGTACATTTCAAAATAACTAGAAGATTTGAAATGTTCCCAACACAAAGAAATGATAAATGTTCAAGGTGACAGATAACCTAAATTCCCTTATTTGATCATTACATAACGTATGTATGGATCAAAATACCACATGTACTCTATAAACATGTACAAATATATTATGTATTAATTTTAAAAGTTGGGCATTTGACTTTGAACCTTTTTGGAACTTTTGCACTTCCAACTTACGAGAAACCGTCTCCTGCTTTCATGCATCTCTTCTCTTTTCTTTTCTAGTTTTTTTCTCATTTCAATTTCATATAATGCATTCTGTCGCTTTATTTCTTCGGCATCTTTTTCTTCACGCTTTTTCCTTCTTTCTTCTTCTTCCTCATGTTCCTTTATTCTAAAGCAAAAACATAATTATAATTGAGAACAAAGCAGAAAAATAGGCTATATTTTTAAGAAATGAATTCAGTTCCAACCTGGAATGAGCTGAAGCTGCAAGGAAGTTGTGAACTTCTTTGGGGGAAAAGAACAGACATTAAACAGCAGTGATTAAAACTAATCCAATCTTGGTTAACCTAGAATTGGCAATACTTTCCTTGCCTCAAAATTTATTTCATTTTTCACCCAAGTAAGTTCTTTTCCTTTAGAAAGAACCAGTTAATGGGATGACAGTAAGAAGAAATAGTGACATTATTTTACAGAAAGGTTCCTAATCCCTAGTGCTTCCCAACTTCAGCCCTAGATGATGCTACATAAGCTGTGGGTCTAGCCTCTCAAGGAATGCAGTTTGATGGAATGAGAGGAAGAACGGTCTCCTTACTCAACTGACCACTTGCGTTGTAATTCTTTCTGTAGCCAATACTGAATAGCTGATAATTTCTTCTGAGTGGTCAGCCTCCCTGGCTGTCTTTCCAAACTTATGTGTGAGTTCCTCAGAGATCCCTGAGGGTCCTCCTCACTGCAGAGCCCTGATCTGAGTGATTTAGCTCCAGCTCCATCTCTTCAACTCACCCCTAAACCCCACCACCATCACTACCAGGAGCTCCCACTCTAAGTAGTTTAGTAAAGACTCCAGGTCTCAAAGGCCTCTCATCCGGCAGCCAAACCTCTGCATACTGGCAAGACAGCACAAGTCCAAGTTGTCTCCTTGCCCATGGAAAATCCATGCATCCTTGTTAGCCAATCAACAATATACAGGCTTTCTCACTACTCTATCTGCCCTCTCTCTCGCTCTCTCTTTTTTCCTGAAAAGGTAGGCACAGGATAGGTCAACAACCCACCTAAATAGATGAATGACTAAGGAATAAACCTTTCTTTCTTTAAAAATTTTTCTTCTATAGAAATGGGGTCTTGCTATGTTGTCCAGGCTGGTCTCAAACTCCTGGCCTGAAGCAATCCTCCCGCCTCAGCCTCCCAAAGTGTTGGGATTACAGGCATGAGCCAATGTACCCAGCCAACCTTTCTTTCATATGCACCCAATCGAGAAAACATTTTTTACTGGAGTCCCCTCACTCAGCTTTAGGGAAGGGAAAATTCCCTTCCCCTATGCCATGGAGGACTATACAGTTAAGTGAGCCAACAAGTTTACTTTGTTACTGTTAAGCCAATTCAGGACAGGAGATTCCTACTTGATTCATCTGTGCAGAATAATAAGCTTTAGAGTCAGAGTCACTCTCTTTAGGAGGAGGTAATAAAAAGATCACTGTTGGTCAATGCTAAACCAGGTTTATGATTGCCCTAAAAAAAAAAACAAAACTCAAGGCTGGGCGCAGTGGCTCACGCTGTAATCCCAGCACTTTGGGAGGCCAAGGTGGGCAGATCACCTGAGGTCAGGAGTTTGAGACCAGCCTGGCCAACATAATGAAACCCCATCTCTACCAAAAAAAAAAAAAAAAATTTAGCCAGATGTGGTGGTGCCCACCTGTACACCCAGTTACTTGGGAGGCTGAGAAAGGAAATCGCTTGAACCTGGGTGGCAGAGGTTGCAGAGAGCTGAGATCACACCACTGCACCCTGGCCTGGGTGAGAGCAAGACTCTGTCTCAAAAAAAAGAAAGATTTGAAGAACATTATAAAAAGAGATTTATCCAATTCTAAAAACAGAAGCTTTTGAAATTTTTAAATTGCTACTTTTAAGGGAAAACAAGATACTTTAAAATTTTTCAACTTTAGCATTTCTTAGCAAATCTGGAAATTACTAACATTATAACTATGCATCCATTGGATAATTTGTCATTTCAGCAAAAAAATTACCTATTCTAAGAATAACAAAAACGTCTCTAATGTCAGTTAAAATATAATATATTGCCAGTGACTTACACAATAATTTACAATAATTAAAAATTTAATTCGCTGTCAAAAGAGACTTTCTCCTTAGTTTGGGTAGTTTGAATAGACTTGTCATCCATATGCCATTAATTTGGCTTAATGCAAAGTTAACTTGCTGAAGTAAATTTGAGATCCTCTAGTTCAAGGAAGAAATACATAACATTCATATCATTACTTCCAACTCCCATTCCCAAAGCAGATGTCAGCCACCAACACAAAACTCTTTCCTGCTGATCCTTGGTCCTTCTCAAACAATGCATTGGGCAGCCTCTACCAGGAAATTAGAGCTGAATATGTCAACGCCTTGCTCTCCTTGAGTAGGCTCCTTGCTATCCTTGATTCACATTCTGAAGGTTCCAAATCTGTACTTATCTAGCACAGATCTGATTCTTGGGCTTACATAGATGTTGCACAGTTCTCCTGTAAAAGCAGGAAAGACTACTACCCAAAATTTGGTTCAGATGTCCAGACTGATGACATTACATCCCAAGAAAACTTGGTAGAAAGTATTACTCACACGAGGGACTCCTGGGAAGAGCTGGGCAGGCACAAGTAGGTATTGATTGCTTTGGACAAAGCAGAGGGAGTGGGTTTGGGGCCTTTATTAATGGCTAAGAGGTGGGACTGAGGAAAAGTTTCTGAGCAGGAGGGATTTAAATTAAGTACTGGTGCCGAAAGAGGAGGAGGAGAGTTCCAGGACCCTTCTTATCAGCCTGTACAGATGTAGGGCCAAAAGGGAAGTGAGAGTGAGGCCTAAAAACGAAGTCAGTAGTCAAACATCCAAACCGAGTTCTCTCTCTCTCTCTCTCTATTACAATAGACAAGTTTGATTCTTTCATTTTTAAACATTGTTTTTTGAGACAGGGTCTCACTCTCTCATCCAGGCTGGAGTGTAGTGTTGCAATTATAGCTCACTGCAACCTCATAGCTCACTGCAACCTCAAACTCCTGGGTTCAAGTGATCCTTCTGCGTCAGCCTCCCAAGCTGGAACTACAGGTGTGTACCACCACACCCAGCTAATTCTAGCTTTTTTTTTTTTTTTTTTTTTGAGAGAGAGAGAGAGAGAGTTGTTGCAGGGGAAAGATGGCTATCTGGGTATTAGCATGGGGGTAAAAGAATTTGCCAAGACAATTGTAGATAAAGAAAGGCAGCCTTATTAGAAAAAGTATAAAAATACATTGCCAGTGAGGCAATAAGCAGCCTGCAAGAGAGAGGCTGGCGGTGAGGAAACAAGGCTTGCTGGAGATTTTATAGGATAGTGTTTATGCTGTATGCTGAGGAGGGCTTTACGCAGTACTGATAACACCAAGGTTGCAGTGAGCTTACTTGCAGGTGGCTGGTGGTAGTTGAGCACAGGAAGATTGTGAATTATTTGTGCAGAAGGGCTATGTGTCCTGAACCAGGAAAAAAGGCAGGCTTGTAGCTTATCTGCATCTTTTGTTTTGCTTTTTCTCGCTCCCACCAGCCCGACTACTTTTCTCCAATTAGGACTCCACAGGGGTCTCACTATGTTAACCAGGATGGTCTTTGAACTCCTGGGCTCAAGTGATCCTCCCTGCTTGACCTCCCAAACTGCTAGGATGATAGGCATGAGCCACCATGCCCAGCCTACCTTGATTCTTATAGAGACAACCCATTAGGCATCATCACCTGGCTATTACATAGGTACTTTACCTTCTCTACATCTAAAACCAAATTCATCATCCTTCTCTTCTAAACTGACCCTTTTGGTCTCTTTTCTTTATTTTGGTGAACAGTACCACCATCTTTTCAGTTACCTATGCTAGGGACTTAAGAATTATACCTAACTCTTCTCTAATCCTTAGACCTCTCATTCATTTACCTACTATTTATTGAATTTCTACTACAATGATAAAACAGATATGGCTCACTCATTCTAGTGACGGAGACAAGCAAAAACAAACAAAGTACAGGCATACCTCAGAGATATTGTGGGTTTGGTTCCAAACTGCTGCAATAAAATGAATATCTCAATAAAGTAAGCCATTCAAATGTTTTAGTTTCCCATTGCATATAAAAGTTATGTTTACACTATACTGTAGTCTATTAAGTATACAATAGCATCATGTCTAGAAAATGTATACATCTTAATTAAAAAATACTTTATTGCTAAAACATGCTAACAACCATCTCAGCCTTCAAGAAGTCAGAATCTTTCTGCTAACAGAGGGTCTTGCCTTGACGTTGATGGGTGCTGACTGATCAGGGTGGTGGTTTTTGAAGGCTGAAGTGGCTGTGGCAATTTATTTAAAATAAGACAACAATGGGCTGGGCGCAGTGACTCACGCCTGTAATCCCAGCACTTTGGGAGACCGAGGCAGGCAGATTATGAGGTCAGGAGATCGAGACCACCATGGCCAACACGGTGAAATCCCGTCTCTACTAAAAATACAAAAAATCAGCCAGGCATGGTGGTGGGCGCCTGTAGTCCCAGCTACTCGGGAGGCTGAGGCAGGAGAATGGAGTGAACCCAGGAGGCGGAGCTTGCAGTGAGCCGAGATTGCACCACTGCACTCCAACCTGGGCGACAGAGTGAGACTCTGTCAAAAAAAAAAGAAAAGAAAAGAAAAGAAAAGAAAAGAAAAGAAAAGAAAAGAAAAGGAAAGGAAGGCAAAAAGAAAAGAAAACAGAAAAAAAAATAAGACAACAATGAAGTCTGCCATATTGATTGACTCTTCACAGAAGGTTTCCCTGTAGTATGTAATGCTGTTGGAGGGCATTTAACCCACAGTAGGACTTCTTTCAAAATTAGAGTCAATCCTCTCAACCTGCTGCTGCTTTATCAACTAAGTTTATATAATATCCTAAATCCTTTGCTGTCATTTGAATGGTTTTCACAGCATCTTCACCCACAGCAGATTCCATCTCAAGAAACCACTTTCTTTGCTCATCCATAAGAATCAGCTTCTCATCCATTCAAGTTTTATCATGAGATTGAAGCAATTCACTCACATCTTCAGGCTCCACTTCTAATTCTAGTTCTCTTGCTATTGACACCACATCTGCAGTTACTTTCTCCACTGAAGTCTTGAACCCCTCAAAGTCATC